GGCTCTAAGAGGGAGTTTGGGTGCAGGGGGGCTCAGGGCTGGGGCAGAGGGTTGGGGTGCAGGGAGCAGGCTCCGCGGGTGGTGCTTACCTCGGGGAGCTCCCTGAAAGCGGCGACATCCCTCGGCTCCTAGGTGTAGGGGTGGCTAGGCGGCTCTGTGCTGCCTCCACCCGCAGGGAACTGTGGCCAATGGGAGCTGCAGATTCAGAGTGGGGGCAGCACACGGATCCCCCCTGGCCATCCCTCCACTTAGGAGCCAGAGGGACATATCGCCTGCCAGCCTCACCAACCGGACTTTTAATGGCCCAGTCAGCAGTGTTGACCAGGGTCCCTTTTTGACCGGGCTTTCCGGTCGAAAACCAGACACTTGGCAACCCTAAGCCTAACTGCACACAAACAGAAAGAAAAAGTCACTCAACCACTATAACAAGAGCACAACAAAGCCTGGACACACAAGTAAACTGGCCAGGGATTATGCTAAAGAAAACAATCTTCTTACGGAAGGAAACCAGTAAAGAAAACAAGAGTTGATATGTAAATGGCACTTTATGTAACTTAAGACATACAAACAAACTGCCTGAAATATCAGTCGCCACCCATTTTCAATACAAAAGCAACGCACTGATGTTTGCCAGCTCTAACCATATCACATAAATCCCTGACATGCAAAATGCTGAGTGGCCTCAACTTGCATTGACTTCATGGAGTAGAGAGAACTTAGCAGCTTACAGGATCAGGTCCTAAATGGGGGGGGGGGGGGAGAAGGAGATGTAATTTGCATTTTTATATGGATCATCATCTCTTTGAGGCAGTGTTGGTATTACAGAAATAAAAAAATAAAATGATTTTTCCACTGAAAATTGGTGGTTATGAGAAATCCAAGCAGTTTGTTTTCATTTAAGTTACACAAAGTGCTATTTACACACCAGCTCTGGTTTTCCTTTACTGGTTTCTGTAAGAAGATTGTTTTCTATAGCATAATTGCTGCCAATTTACTTTTGTGTCCCACCCCACTGCCACCCTGCTCCTCTCATGACTCTCTGCTTCCATAAACGAAGGGATCTCCCATTCCCCTTTCAAATACTTCCTTAAAACACATTTATTTTGTGTAGCCTTTCCACATTACGCTCCTCACAATGTCGTGATACCTTCTGTCCCATGTATCACATCTATCCAAGTTGGACTGAATTCTGGCCTGATCCTGCTAGTCTTTCTCTTGTTAGCATTCCCACTAAAGTCAATGTGACTGATTATTTTCATGCGCAAAGGCGACAGAATCTGTCCATCAGCTTGTAAAGTGAGAGTGACCCTCCCTTTTACAGGATTTCTGAAGTGTCACGTGGACTTATATCACTGTCATAAAAAAATGTAAAAGATTCTGAAAAGAATATTCACTCACAAAAATCTGCATTCGAAATATATCATCCTTGTGACAAACCACAAAGGGACCTCCCCCAGGAAAATGCCAAGTGAGGATTCAATCCGACTCCCATTCAAATCAATTGGAGTTTTGCTTTTGATGCAAATGGGAGCAGGATTAGGCCATTAAGATGGAAATGTAATAAATCATTCCAAGCCCAATGAGATGCTTTAAAGATACTACAATGGCACTCTCATGGCACTATACTGGAGGATATATGCATGAGACAGATGCTAGTCATGTTGTTTAATGAATCAGTGGAATGGGGCTCAGATACCTCAGTGATGGGCGCAATATAAGGATCTGGATAAGAACAGAATAGAAAAAATATGGTGCATTCCTCCCTTTATTGTCTACGGTGCCCAAAGTGTACTATATGATTTATTAACAGATAGACTATGTGGTCCTTACAGTTTAAAATCAAATGTATACAGTACTTATGTGTATGTATAGGTGCCTAGCACAACAGGGCCCCGATCCCTCAATGGGGATCTAGGCACTTCTGCGCTACAAATAGTAAGTAATAAAAATAATAGATTCAACACAAAAAGGAAGAACAAAAGGAAAGATGCCATGAGAGAAAGTAAGATGGTGGTAAGACAATACGAAAATGCTGAGGCTTTGTTTGGCTGCACACTTCTCAAAGTTACAGGCGACTCAATTATTTGAACACTGGTGTTAGTGATTATGGATTTTAGTGGGTGGGAAAGGCTGAGATGGGTACTGAGCAGAATTGGAGCTGGGACAGGTTGTGGTGTTCCTGATGAGATGCATGATAAGCAGGGGGAGTGAGGCTGGAAAGCAAGGGGGCATGCAGGTCAGAGAGTCAGCAAGATGTTAGAAGCAACTGGAGATGCCACTGTCAAGATGA